GGGTAGTGTGTTGGTTAGCTGGTGGGTTAGCTGGTGGGTAGCTGGTGGGTTAGCTGGTGGGTAGCTGGTGGGTTAGCTGGTGGGTAGCTGGTTGGTTAGCTGGTTGGTTAGCTGTTTGGTTAGCTGTTTGGTAGCTGGTTGGTTAGCTGGTGGGTAGCTTGTGGGTAGCTGGTGGGTAGCTGGTGGGTAGCTGGTAGATTAGCTGGGGGGTAGGGGTCAATCCCTGCCTCTCTCTCCCACCTCCACATGGAAACACATTTTTTGCTCCGAAACTCATGCTCTGAGAGGTCCCTGGACCTAGTTCCCTTCAGTAGCCCAGACAGTCTCCAGTTCATATCAAAGAGTTAGAGGGGCTGGTGACTTAGGAGCTGGGACTAGTTGAGCCTAAACCAGGTCACTCAGCCTAGGGTCTCAGCTTTTGGCATTGTTTTCATGTGGTACAGCTCAGGGTTTAGGAAATACATGGATAAGCACCCTGCAGAAGAAAAGCTAGGAGCCTTGGGGGTCTCATTAATCATCAACTTGTTCAAATGAACCAGCGACTTCGTGCTTGCTCTCTGCCGCCCGCGAGGCGTGTCTGGGCGACGGGCAGGCACCTTGCTGGGCTGTGGGACAGAGCCAGGCGCACGCCCTCTCTGCCTTTATGCTCCGAGCACTATTCAGCCCACCTTCCCTCTGGTGCCTGGAGGCCCCTCTTTCCTTCTCCACGCCCACAAAAGCCTGGCACTATAGGGCAGAGAACAAAGACCAAAGCCAATCAATTGGAGTGACTTAATGATTAATGCCGTGGGTCTCTCGAGCCAGGTCTGTGGATGAGGCTTTGAGGAAGCTCACAGGTTGTGGCCACCCAGGCTCTGTGGGCAAAGGCCTGAGGCGGGAGGGGATAGGCTCGAAGCTCTCTCGGGGCTGTCAGTTCTCCAGGGTCAAAAGTCACCCTGGCAAGCCCTGTCAGCCTGAGAGTGAGGCACTAGCTGCTTCTCTTGGTGTGCTCTTGGCACCACGCCCCCCACTCGAGTTCTTTCTGCTTTCCACCCCTGTTTTCCAGGTCTCACCACTCCACCAGGTCAGGTCCCAGGAGCGGGACCTCGGGTTCCTCTTGGGAAGGCTATCTCCCTCCCACCCAGCTGTGAGGACAAATGGACAGACTGCCACTGTGCCCACATGCTGCCCTCTCACCTGCAGGAAGCCCCCAGTGCAGCCCGCCATGAAGATGTGTACGTAGCTCGGGGGCTGGGCCCTCCGGTCCTGGTGGGAGGTGGCTGTGAGCATCAGCAGGGTGTTGCTGTAGACCCCGAACAGCACAGAGTTGACCACAGCGATGCTCGCGATGGGGAAGCTCATTCCCTTGAAGAAGCCCAGGAGCTGCAGAGACGCAATGGCCTTGAGTAGGAGTGGGAGCTACCTGTGGCCCTTCCAGATCCTGCAAGGCCTTCTGGGGGGGGGGGGGGGGAGAGGAGACAGGCTGAGGTGGGGGAAACCACCCAGCTACCACCCCGCCCTTCAAGGGACCCAGACTAGAGTCTACTCCCTTCCAGGGGCAGAGCCTATTGAAGAGCAGAAGGAACCTGGTACTTCCTGTCCCCAGAAGAGAGCCACCCACCGACTCATGGCGGTAGATCTTGACCATGCAGTCGATGATGCCGTGGTACATGGTCTGGGTCTGCAGCCGCACCTGGACGGGGGAGAGCGAGCGGGCAGTGGGGTGGGCGGGCGGCAGGCCAATTCTTCCCTCTGCCTCTCGGCAAGAAGCCAGCAGGCAGGAGAGACAAGAAAGACTGCTAACCAGGCCTAATCTCGGGACACTCTGATGTTTGGTTCGGGCTTTCATTCGTCTAGTGCTTCCTGGAGACTCACCTTTACGGTGTCGAAGGGATGTCCCAGGACCAAGCCCAGAGCTCCTGCGGTGACAAGAACGTGCTATGAGTGAGGGCCCTCATGCTAGACCCAGGGGCATGTCTGTACCACAGGAAAGCGGGTTGAGGCAGGAGGAAGGACAGCAAGACCTGAAGGTTCCCAAGACACTCCAGCTGCTCCTGATCCTACTGCGCCAAGCAGTGGGCTAGAAAGGGCCCGGGACAATGGAAAGAGCACGCTTGTCCAGGGGGAGGGCCCAACCAAAGATGCGTAGCTCCTGGCTGGGAGGCAACACGCCAGTGTCCCACTGCTTATTAGAACTGAGCTCCTAGGGACCAGCAGTTGTTGTAATGGCCATGTCACTGAACTCCCATGTTGTCAACCACGGTTCAAGTTCCGGATCCCGTGGCTTAAACTCACATTGGGCACGTGTGCGTGCGTGCCCAAGATCCCGAGAGGAGAATGGAGGAGAGATTGCAGCGTGGCCATCCCCCCTAGGGGGCAATTTCTCACTTTCTGTCTCTCTCTGTCTTTCTGGCGAGCGCACATGCTCTATAGCAAAAAACCTCTCCAAAAAAAAAAAAAAAAACTGAGATTCTAGAATGACCTTCCGGAGCTTCCACCTCCCCGCCAGCTTGCCTCCTTCCTTCTTTCAGCCCTAATGTTGCATTTCTGCACCATGAAGCCTTCCCTCCCGGCGCTCAGAGCTGGAGGGCCCTTACAGGAGGCATGTCAGCCCCAAGTAGGCAGGTCTGCCACCCCTTCCCACTGCCTAACTGCAAAGGCCGGTTCTGGAGCTCCAGGGGAGGCTGCATCTCCGGGGTGGGGGTGGGGGTGGGGGAGTAGGGCAGGTTTGGAACATCCCTCTTTCTCCTGCTAGCAATGTCACTCGGAAGCTGGGTTGCTCCACAGACACAATGGGCCTGGGGCCCAGGGGGTGTGACCCATTGCCAGGTAGGAAGAGCCCAAGAGGGGCACTTGGCATAGCAGCTGAGGTCGAAGGTGGACTCCCTTCCTGAGTCCTAAGGGGTGGACGATGCAGGGAGCTCACCTGCCCCATCTGCCCTGGTCCCAGCAGGAAACAGCCCCCTCCCACCAACCCCATTTTCTCCTCTCCTACTCCAGGGACAGCTGACTAGAGTGCACAAGGGAAACCAGGACTTTGGCCACAGCTCCTCCTGTGTCACCCATCTTCCTCAGGAAGTGACCCACCTCGGGAGGTGATGTGACAGAAGAGGAAAGACTCTCACCAGAGATCCAGCCAGCTACAAACTCCTCCACAGGCATTCTTTGGGCTCGGGTGGAATTGGTGGCCCCAGCAGAGGAGCCGGTGAAAGTTTAGTTCCACTTTCTCCCTCCCTGGACCGGGCAATAATCTCCCATTAATGTTTAACCCTGGCCAGAGGGTGAGAAATGGCCCGGTGCCCAGACTGCAGGCCACCAGGAGAGGGGAGTGAGCCAGCACCAGTGACCCTGAAGGCTGGAGGAGCTGTGTTTCTCTTGGAGGCTCTGGGACAGGGATGAAGGGCTCAGGATGGCCACGGGGGTCACCACTTCCTGGGTGGGCCCCCTCAATAAGGGGCAAAAGCACCATTTGCCCCCTGCCATGTCCATCCTAGCCCCGCCTCCCACTCATCCCCACAGGAAAGGCCGACTCCTACCCCAGACAAGCAGCAAGGCCCTGGAGAAGGAGCATGGCCACTAGGGGGCAGGCCCATGCACTGAGGAGCCACCCAGCCAGGACAGGGTGGGAACGGCCTGGAGGAGCCGGCTCTCAGGAGTGACTCACAAGCTTGCAGCCGGCTCTTCTCTGAGTTGTTTACAATTCCCCAGTGTGAGTCAGAAGCTCGGCCTCCCCCTTTCCCAAGGGAAAGATGGAGGTTTGGATTACGTAAAGGGTTGTGTGTCTACCTACAATGGCATCACCAGGCTTCAGAGTCAAAATCAAATCCCTCCCAGGCTCCCTGAGCCCTATGGTGCTGTCCGTCCTCCTCTGACCTCAGGTCCAGCCCCCGCCAGTCACCCTGATTTCCTTATTCTTCTTCACCTCCTTTACACTGGCTCTTCCCTCTTCCTGGACACTCTTGAATTCACCTCCCTGAAGTGGGTTCAAACATCACCTCCTCAGTGAGACCAGTCCTGACCCTCTCATCCCTCCCTATAATATGCCCCAACTCCACAGTCCGCTCTCCCTCCTCCCAGGCTCCTTGTCACCTCCCACACATGATGTAACTGACCTGGTGCCTGTTTGCTAATGTATCTTTTTTTTTAGGTTTTTGCCATAGGGAGCATGTGCTCACCAGAGGGACAGAGAGAGGGAAAGTGAGAAATCACTCCCCAAGGGATGGCCATGCCACAATGCCTTCTCCTCCAGTCTCCTCTCAGGATTCTAGCCACACATGCACAGTGCCCAGTGTGATTTTCTTTCTTTCTTTCTTTCTTTCTTGTTTTTTTTTTTGGGGGGGAGAGATTTTTGCTATAGTGCATGTGCACTTGCCAGAAAGACAGAGAGACAGAAAGCGAGAAATCACTCCCCTAGGGGGGATGGCCACGCTGCAATCCTTTTTCTGAACTTGACTATTCAGTATCCTGTGCACACATGCATGCATGCCCAGCGTGAGCTTAAACCACCGGGTCTGGGACTCGAACTTGACTACATGGGAGTCCAGTGACATAGCCATTACGTCAACTCCTGGTCCCAGCCCAGTGTGATTTTCAAGTCACCAGATCTAGGGTTTGAACCATGGTCGGCCATGTGGGAATTCAATGCCTTTAACACCATGCCACCTACCGATCCTTGTTCACTAATGTATCTTTTCTTTTTCTAAGAATTATTCATTGGGAGCAGGTGGCATGGTGATTAAGGTGCTAGAATTCCCACATGGTTGATTATGGTTCGAATCCTGGACCTGGAGGCTTGCTTTCTCCTTCTCTCTCTTTCTTTCTCTTTCTCTGGCAAAACTCATGTGAAAATAAACAAATACATAATTATTTTAAAATTATTTATTTCATTTTATTTATTATTCTTTTTCTTCAATTTGACCAGAAAGGGAGGGGGGGAGAGTGAGAAAATGAACCACCAGGTCGGGGACTAGAACCGTGGTTGGCCATGTGAAAGTCCAGCACCTTAATCACCATGTCATTTACCAGCCCCATTAATGTATCTTAAAGGCTAGAACAGTGCATCGCACAGGACAGGCACCCAACAAACACCAGTTACTTATTAACTAAGTTTGTTGAATGAACAGAAATGTCAGGGCACAGGACCAGCTAGTGATGTGGTGGTTAAGGGCCCTGGATTCCCACATGGCCGACAGTGGTTCGAGTACCAGACCTGGCAGCTTGCTTTCTCACTCCTCCCTCCCCCTTGCTCTGTTCCTCTCTGGTCACATTAAAATAAATAAATATAAATAAATAAATAAATAAATAAATAAATAAAGTTAAATAAAATAATTTTTTCAAAAAAGAAAGAAAGAAATGTCAGGGTGCAGCATCAGTGGCCGGCCCTGGGGCTCCAGTTCCCTCTCCCTATTGCCAAGGGGCATAAGAGAATGTGAAGGGCTGGCATTACCCCATCTCCCATCTCGTGGTAGCTTTGGAGGCAGGGCCTCGTGTCCAACATGTCCCCTCCCCATGGGGCTGCCTGGGGCTCGTTGGACTACTCAAAGAGTGTCCTGAGAACTGACCTTTCACTATGGGTTGGTATACTCCTAGTTGAGCTGTTTACTCTCTCCCTAAGTGACATTCTTTTATTTTAAAATTTTATTTAATATCATTATTCTTCAATTGACCAGAGAGAGACAGACAGACAGAAAGGGAGACTGAGAAAGCAAGCCACCAGATCTGGGCCTTGAACCAGGGTCTGCCATGTGGGAGTCCAGTGCCTCAACCACCACACCACCTGCCAGCCCCTGGGCAGCCCCTTCTTGTGGGCTTTGGGTGCCAAAGTGGGGTGCCAGCCCCGCTGACTGCTAATGTCTCAGCCTCTCCGTTCTGGAGACCTGCAGGCCCCCTCCTCCTTCACCTCGGAATAAGCCCCACTCTCTCAGTTCCACCACGGCATCCCAGTTCAAGAGAGACTCATTCCCGTGCTCCTAGAGCCTACAGAAGGGACACCTACCCTTGGCTGCTTCTCCAGGCTCCCAGATTCCACCAGGCTAATCTGCACGACAGAGATGGTCTTCCTTGGTCTCTAGTCACAACCTCCAACATGTCCTCACCCTCCACTCCTCAGCCTGGGGCTCAAAGCCCCCACCACAGTGCCACCGTGCCTGCTGTTCTCCAACATGCCCAGGCTTTCCTGAGGTCCTAACCATGCCCGTGCAACCCCTGCTACCTGGGGTGCCTTTTCTCTCCCACCCTGCCAGCCCATCCTCTTAGCCTTCCCAGCTGTCTTCCAATGGCTCTTTGGCTAGATTTGGGTTCCAGTCCCCGCTCCCCATCAACGCACACTGCCAGATGTCGGCCTTGTTAGTGCATCTTTTTTGTTTTCTTGTTCATCAGGTGGAGATACAGTGCTTACCTCTTCCTATATTGTAAGGACTAAAGCACTTAGAACTGTACCTGCTGCATGAACAGTAGCTGTTAATATAGTGCTCTTAGGGACCAGCCGGTGATGTGGTGGTAAAAGGCACTGTACTCCCACATGGACAATCATGGTTCAAGTCCCAGACCTGGTGGCTTCCTTTCTTACTTTCCCTCTCTATCTTTCTCTGTCTCTCTCTGGTCAAATGGAAAATAATAATACAGAGGAACCAGCAGTTAGCGTAATGGCTATGTCGCTGAACTCCCACGTAGTCGACCGTGGTTCGTGTCCTGGACCCAGTGGCTTAAAACTCACGCTGGGCGCGTGTGCATGCATGCCCAAGATCCTGAGAGGAGAATGGAGAAGGGATTGCAGTGTGACCATCCCCCCTGGGGGGGCCTGCCCCCCTGGGGGGGGGCCTTCTCGCTTTCTGTCTCTCTGTCTCTCTCTGTCTGTCTGACAAGCGCACACACCCTATAGTGAAAAACTCTCAAAAAAAAAAAGAAAATAAGACATAAAGTTAAAATAATAATTTTAAAAAATTTATTTGTTGTTATTATTTTTATTTTTTATATGACCAAAGAGACAGAGTGAGAGCGAGAGGACAAAGTGAGAAAGCAAGCCGCCAGGTCTGGGGCTTGAACCATGGTCAGCTATGGGGGAGTCCAACACCTTAACAACCATGCTAATTCTTTAAAAAAAGTACTGGGGACCAGCAGATAGTGTAATGGTTACTTTGCTGGACTCCCATGTAGTCGACCGCAGTTTGAATCCCAGACCCAGTGGCTTATACTCATGCCGGGCCCATGTGTATGCGTGCCCAAGATCCCGAGAGGAGAATGGAGGAGAAGGGATTGCGGCATGGCCATGCCCTCTGGGGGGGGATTTTTCACTTTCTGTCTCTCTCTTCCTCTCTGTCTTTCTGGCAAGTGCACGCGCCCTATAGCAAAAACCTCTCCAAAAATAAAACACAGTGGTCTTATTTCTACTCACAGAGCCCATGAAGATGACACGAGGAAACACACAGGCCTGGTCCTACGTCCAGCCACAGTAGTAGATGAGCAGAAATAAGGCCCATTGTAGTATTTTATAGCTCTTAAGGCAGTCCCATCATCTTCTGTTCTCCTGGGCATCTTTTTCTTTCCC